TTAAACAAATCTAAGTCCGTGGACAATCTCCTGGCTACAGGGAGTTACAGATCGTGTAACTAACACCACTCAAGAAGACACGTTTCTGTAAGAGTTTTAAACAAATCTAAGTCCGTGGACAATCTCCTGGCTACAGGGAGTTATTGCTTTATCTTACACACCGTGTAACTAACACCACTCAAGAAGACACGTTTCTGTAAGAGTTTTAAACAAATCTAAGTCCGTGGACAATCTCCTGGCTACAGGGAGTTATTGCTTTATCTTACACACCGTGTAACTAACACCACTCAAGAAGACACGTTTCTGTAAGAGTTTTAAACAAATGGACAATCTCCTGGCTACAGGGAGTTACAGATCGTGTAACTAACACCACTCAAGAAGACACGTTTCTGTAAGAGTTTTAAACAAGTCCGTGGACAATCTCCTGGCTACAGGGAGTTACAGATCGTGTAACTAACACCACTCAAGAAGACACGTTTCTGTAAGAGTTCTTCCAAACTTCTGCAAACGTCACTGCTGAATGGAACCTGTAGAAAATGCTAAGAGGCAATGTAACCCTAGTGATGACCGCCCAACCCATGACCCCATAGAACTCTCGCTCCACTGGACTCGCTTCAACCTTCTGCATCTGGAATGTGTAAATAACCCATAAGGTCAGGTTCGAGATCATCAGAAAGGTAACGATCTGTCTTCCGGGTTTTTGTTGGTCTTGTTCCGGGAGATGGGATGACCGACAGGACATGTCGGCGATTAAGAGAGACTGTAAAGTGACCTGGAGCAAGGTGAGGCAGCTGGTTACTAAGAGGAGAATGTTGGGTATATAAGAGACTGAAGACAGTGAACCTGCAATGATGCCGAACATGGCGTGGATGTACAAACCAAATGCTGCCACGCGCAAGAGGATATCCCGAAGCTGATCTTTACGACAAGTTGAAAAACGTAGAGACTTCACTCGAAAGAAGCCGACGATGATGGCGATGATGGCAAAAAGAAGGATGCTGCAGTGAGAAAGATCACTAAGGTAGACCGCCAGGAGGCGATAGTGGTCGTGGTAGATGAGAACAAAGAATACGATGAGACAAATAACGCAAATAACAAGCACAAGAAGTCCGAAGAACAGGCCTTTGCTGGACCCCGAGCAATTCACGGGATTGGTCGACTGAGCGCTGGATGTCCTGGAGAGGCGGTCTTCCTCTTGAAGCTCCCCCTGGAAGATAGGGTCCTTGCCAATGTTTTTCCACATAACATACAATACTGCTGCGCCTATGAGACTATACTCTACAATAAACGGGTACAGAAATGGAGATGAGCTTGCCACAATGTTACCCATTATGTCTTCCTTCTGACAAGGATTGCTGGCGTTGCTGTTGTTAAGTTCTGTATGAAAAACAAAACGGAATAGAATGTGCATATATACAATTATCGAGAACTTCTTCCTTTGAGTTTTGTGTTATAATACAATGGATTTAAAACAAAAAACAACTTTTGAAACAAATTAATTTCAGCAATGTTACGTAGAAAATTAATGTATTTTAATATTCTTCAACCTAAAATTACACAACTCTGTTTCAAATGTATTTATATTAGATTTTAAACATTTTCCTTTTAATACACGATATTAAAAACAAGTTTCCGTCGTGCCATCTATTGGATACGAAAACAACCACAAACAAAGAAGTTGCTTGGCTTATAACAAAGCCAGCCTCCACCCAGTAACTCAGCGACAAGTCTGGGAAATCACACCGCTATAAACCTGGTTTCGATACTCGTCGTGGGCACAGAACAGATAGCCCATTGTATAGCGTTTTGCTTAACAACAAATAAACGTCTTACAAGATCCCCCTCCCCCCAAGTGGTTCAGCGACAAGTCTACAGGTGTACGACACTTAAAATTGGGTTTAAATACCCGTCGTTGGAAGAGCATCCATAACTGTTGAATTTAGCGCTTAACAATAACGAAACCAGATCCTTAGAAGAGTTAACTAAAATAATGATAAATCTATCT